CTGCAGCTTTTGTAGCATTGTACGAGATTGCGCTTAGAGCAGGATACTAGCCTTATACATATAACTATATCAGATTCTATAACTGTTATTATTACTTGGTATGAAGTAATGGTGTACTCCAATATGTCATTGTATTGTTATTACAATTAATTTATTTTATTATTTTCTAAATATTCCTTAAAATTTATAATCATCATTATTATTATTATTATTAGTTGTTGTAGTAGTAGTATTTGCATTAGTATTATATTCTATTATTATTATTAGTAGTAGTAGTAGTATTTGTATTATTGAAGAAATACCAGTGGTATGTGTAATCTTTTTTTTAAGTCTTCTTGTGTATAATTGTAAAAAAACAAAGAACCTTAAATGTCTCCTTGGACTTGAGGACTATTATGTCTTGTACTCTTGTAGAGTTTTACCAGTGCATGATTTTTTTCTGTCAATCCAAATAAGGTCAAGTTTTGAAGCATCAACGTGAGGTTGCCTGATATTTACTTCAAATGCCTCTGTGGTATTAGACATAATTGAAAGCGTGTGTATAAAAGAAGTAGCAGTTTATACGGTCTATGACTAAATGTGTGCCTAAATTAAGACAAGATTGTAAGGCATACTATGATAGATCTTAGGAGGGAAACATGTGCCAAATGTCAGATTTTTGGTCTTGCAAGACTGAATTTGAAACAAACGCAAAGTTTAAAACTACAATAGTTCAGGCTTTTGCAATTAGACACATAATTGTTACCATGCAAAGTTTGACATGTTATATGTTACATTATTATACAAGACAAATGCATAATGGCTATTATTGATTTGCCATAAAATGGTTTACGTTGGGATTCTGTACATCAGTAAAATATGGAATGGATGGATGGATATGAATTAACATTTGGAACCCTTCATTAGCCATGCGGCTACTGATTATCTTTTGGATTTCTGTTAGGCAGCAGGGAGAAGGTTGAGTAATAGATGTAAATGCCTCCCTGGTTGTAAAGTGTCTGTGACTATTAAAAGATATAGAACAGCTTTGTACGTTTCTGTCTATTTTCTTCAGCTCCATATGGCAGCTCTTTTTAAACGATACTAGGACTCAAACAATTTTCTCAGATCTAGTTTGAAAAAATAAATAGTTTTACTGCTACGTTAAGAAGTTTCTTTGATTTAAGCCATCGACAAAAGATAGGATATTTTACTTTCAAATCCACTTTTCTCCTAGATCCTCTTGATTTTACAAGAAAAACCACAGAAACAGCACACTTCTCGTCTTTCAAAAAAGTACGGCACTGCTCTTGAACCGACAAGCACTTCACATATCCCTTCTTGAAAATAGGCATTTGGCTCTCTTTGTCCAAGAAGGCACCGTTCAGACAATTAACTCCGCCATGTGTACACGACTAATCTTTGATTGCTTGTCACACGGCATTACTGATCAGATACTGACACAATTACAGCTGCTGCAATGAATGTGTTTTCCAGAGAACAAACATTAAAGCTAAATTTCCTGTGTAGACAATATGTCACCTCAGAATCAGGGTGTAAATCTTTTATTAGATGCGAAGGTTAGAAATTGTGCTGTTTATGAGATGTTGGCAAGGGTAGATTGCTGACGTCAGATAACACAGAACACTCGCTCAGTCAGTGACACTCACTCACGTACTCATCACTCTCTCACTCATCACGCACTCACTCACTCACGGACACTATCGATCTCGCTTGGAATCTTACCACGACATACATTGCTCAAGGTGATTGATTTAGGTTTATTCCACTGCAAGCTTTTTAATAATTAATGTAGGTCGTCTGTGGTTAAACACAGCCTCTGTTCCCATGAATCGAATTCCAAAATCAGAAAAAAAGAAAGTTTTAATACATTTTGTTGTTATATCTTTTTTCAATTTTTAAATTCAAAACAGATATAACATAAAAATGTATTAAAACATAAAATATACTTTTGTTGTTATATCTGTTTTGAATTTTTAAATTCAAAACAGATATAGTTTTTAAATTCAAAACAGATATAACAACAAAATGTATTAAAACGTAAAATATATCTGTAACAAGTGTATTTGTGACACAGTTTAATTTGATTACATTAAACATAACAGGCTCTCCAGATTGATAATACCATTCAGGCAGACCACTGCTGTTGTTTATTGTTAATGTTATCAAGCCTTCGAAATCCTCTCTCCTCACATCACTAGTGCTACACTGCACATCACCGTCCATTACACATACAACTTTTATGGTTAGGTCAGGCTTCAACAGGATATTCTATCATATAAACAGATACGACTAGGTCTGCATTTTTGGCCACATGATATACTTTCTTTAAATCCTTGGGAAGTCATACATCACTTCTAATAAAATGTGCAAGTAGTGTGGCATCACCTAGCGGAATCTATGAGAACGACATTAGGTAAGAGTCGTTGTCTTTTGTTTCCAAGTCACCATTTTCTCTCTCGTCCATTTGTCTATAATATAAATGGATTACAATTGTCTGACTATACACCGGGTATACAGTGCTATATACTAATTACTATTTTCTAATACACCATCTTCTAATTTTGGTGAAATTTGAGATAGTAACATTAATAAGGCAACATTACAATCACGATACTTTCTTGGTTGTAAAAAAAATATAGATAAAATGAAAAGATGTGTCTTAGTTGAAAAGCTACCCTTTACAAACCACTGTTACTAATTTCATAACGATCTGTAATCATAATCAACATTGCATAACGCTTAACGTCTTCCACAATATTAAAAATAAAGCTAGAGCTGATTTATCTTATTATCGTTGCTTGCTATTTTATCTCTAGTAAACACATGTTTTAACCAACAAACCTTAAAGCGGAATAGCGAACATTTAAGTATAGGGCAGCTGCATCTTATAACTTGTTAAATAATTGTGAACTAAACTCATGACCCCTGACCACATGGTCTGATTTATCTTTCGACTGGAATGACACGGACTATGATCATGCCTTATGATTTTGACTATTTGTTTTGCTTGACATGCTTTGTTTGTTATGACCGATTACTTGTACCCTTTGTTTTTATTATTTGATATCTCTATGTTTGGGTTATTTGATTGTCTATGTCCTTTGTAACTTGTTCTGTTGGGCTACATTGGAAATCTGTTGTCCTAAACTGAAGGTACCACCCTACTGTTTTTTTTTTTATTCACATGGATTTTTGAGCATTGGATAGGAAGCACTTGTTGTGCTTATGTAAATCCGCTGCTCATAAAACATAATACAAATGTAAACATAAAGATGACATAAAGTATAACATAAACATAAAATGAAAGTGGCTGGCGCACCAATACCTATAGCATAACATGAATGAGATTGGTCAAATCTTCCAGAGTGGTGGATATAGTTAAACACAATATCAAAGTTTTGAAGATAAATGAATAAATGAATAGATAAAAGATAGAAATAACATCATGAAAGTATTTTATAGGCGATTGTAAAATTGTGTCTTCTCGTTTCCTCGGAGGCTTTCAACACAGCTTAACATTTTTTCAGCGGTGGTGACCGCTTGGCCCGTCATCTATTTACAACGGGCTCCTGTAAATGAATCAAAGAACTCTTCTCCGTAGTCTGAATGGTATGTTTGGCAATGTTGGAGTGACTACAGTTCGGTTCTGTTTGTATGTAAAATATCCTAACAAGAAGTTAGATCTTATTGATATTCGTTAATATGTAAGTAGCTGTTGTAAAAGATGTCAGGTTTAAAATGTGCCGCCTGTTTTTCGACGAAATTGCATTGGGATTTTTTGTTGCATTTTTATTGTACGTGTTCACAAAAACATCTAAATGATATTTTCTTGCGAGTAAAGGTTATGGAAACACAGCTTAGGTAAGATAATAGTTATCCTGGCATGTCCCTACGTTGCTGCAATTGGATGTGAAGATTACTTGTGTTTAACATTACCCCAGAAGCTGTGAATGGTTGTTAATGGTATCTAATTTTAGTGGCAGCAAAATTAAGCTTCGATCATGGACCTTCTATAGCCTATTTAAGGTATTGTAGTATAGCTGTTGGTTTTATTATATACGGATAGCTGTTTGGCAAATATCATAGGTCAAACGATGCTCTGCTTTTTAATTACCTTAATCGACCTGGCAGACGAAGGAATGGTAAACTTGGTGATATGTACTGATCCATTCTCCCGTTCTCTGCGCTGCAAAAAGGACGTAATTATTCACATTCGGAATATATGGTTGATTGGGAGCCCATGCGTTGTACTTGCCAAGCGCAGAACCATCAACCCACTTAAACTCTCTTTCTTCATGCTGATAGCGCAGGCCAATCCAGTACAGTATACGGCGTATCTCCCCTTGTACATGTAAGCGGAACAAAAATTTATTTGTCTCAGCGTCTTTGGGCATGGCAAGTGTGCCGCCATCCTTGCGACAGATCTCAGTCGCATTGCTAAAGGTTTCATATGCCCCGAAGATCTTGTAGCAGGATCCTTTCCACTGTGTGTAACTTTCAGAACATGAGACTAGAAAAAAAAAAGTTTTACATCAATATAGCTGGTACAAAACGCCAATTTATCGAACACCAATCTATTAGTAAGCAAACAGGATTCAGTGATGTAAAGTACCTCCCTTTCAGAATTGTAATATCCATTTACTTTATCTTTACCTTCACAAGAATATCATGTTTGTATATCGCCTGTATGTATGCATGTATGTTTGCATAGCACGATATTACCTCAAGAAATTAAGGAGGCGTTGATGAAATCAACTAGCGTTTGAAATGTTTAAATGTTTGGTTTTCTTTCCAATACCCACGATCATAATAATAATCATTCTTGAATACTCATTTCACCTGAGAAAAGTGAAGAAAGTCGTATAAAGTGCATTTTCCAAGGGCACAAGATCGGTGCACTTGGCAGGATTAGAACCCCTGACTTCTTGGTTCTGAGCAAAATGATCTGCCGTTGAGCCATACGACCCCACTGACACATGTCTACTAGGTAGACATGCCTACTTACCATTAAGTGACTTAGGTCCTTCGAATGTTTGAGAATGTCCAGGTGGTCCAGTGGGGCAGAATGAGCTTCTTGGTTGACCAGGTGGTCCAGGGGGACCTGTCTTGCCAGTGGGTCCAGGAGGCCAGGCAGGCCCATGACGAACTGGCCCTATGGGCCCTGTTTTTCCTGGAGAACCAGGGAGCCCAGCTGGTCCAATGGCTCCTTTTTCTCCGGGAGGTCCAGGGGGGCCCATCGCTCCCTTTTGTCCGGGAGATCCATGAGGCCTAGCAGACACTGATGAAAACAAAAAGACAGACTTTCAAAAAAGCACAATTGTTCATTCAAAGCTACTAAAGCTTAATGAATACCTTTAGAATGACTGTAACTGCTTTTTACTGAGAAAATAAGATGTGCAAACACACTAACAATTCAACGTAGTTTCAATCAACAAACAAGTTTTCTACAAAAGCACTTACGTCGTTCAGTCCTTTTGTTAAGTTTGGTTATCTCTGCAGACAACCTGGCAATCTCCTTAGAATGACTTCTGACTTGAACTATATTAAAGAAGACGTGATAGATTTCAGACTTCTGGGAAGTACATATTCAATGTGTATTGGACTTCTGAATGAGACTGTGTGAAGTAATTCAATTACGTATCAATCAATCAATCAATCAATCAATCAATCAATCAACCGCAGGCACCAGTAGAAATGCATAGCGGCTGCAGACATGTACCTCCAGGATGTATTGTACAATTGGGTATTGTACCACTTTTTTTTAAATTCCTCCACACCCCTACGGCCTACCTCTTCCTACCTACTTCCACCAGCATGTGCGGTGTTTACCTACAGATTTGGCAGACTCACCCATACAAGCAAAGCAATTTTGAGACAGACACGCCCCCTCATCCTATCCTCCTAAAAAAATTATTCCAACCCGTACCGTAAAGGACGTGTTTTTCACGTCGTGTGAACAGATATTCGGTGTTGCGAAGGTTATTATATCAAATAAACCATAAACTATTCCAAATCCCGAAAGTTGAGAAAAAAGGAATGCATATTGTTACGACATGCCGAGATACATGTAGATGTCCAAAGATATTTAGCATGAGAGAAATTAAATTTACACATAGAAAGTGGCGTACCTGCTAAATACGGCAAAATGATTATAACTACCAGGCTGACCAGCAGGCCAGCGGTTTGCCACAGCGTCTTGCGGAGTCTGCGAGATCTCTTCTTCTTCCTGGCGTCCGCATTGTTGCTTGCACTTGCATCTGTTTTAACATCCGGTGTAAAATGTATATCAGAAATTTCTCTCTGCTGATTGTTATGTATGGTAATAAAAAAAAGGAAGAGAGAGAAGAGGGAGAAGGAAATAGACATGCCGTATTGTAAGGTCGCTAAACTGAAAATATAGGTTGCATCACATAAAAACAACATCGGTGCATTCGTTAAACCAAAAGAAATTATCAAAAACTTTTAACTTAAAAGTTAGTACAACCTTTTATAACTTAGAATACAACGGTCAATGCGTTAAACAGGTTAATCTGATTATGATGATGATTCTATGTGATTATCATAATGATATCGATCATATATTGTCGTCCCACAGAATCAAAAGACAAACAAGCAGTCATAGGTGACAACCCTTAGTGTTTTATTTTCTGCAGATTGAGAACAGTATCTTCCTGAGCATACCCACTTGCACGCAGCCTGTTACGTCCCTGCAAGTATTCCGAGTTCGCACGCTACTCGCGCGGCTATCACCCAACGGCCGGGCGAAAACAATTCAATATTATAGGGATGTTCCTTAAATAGGCATTTACTTCGATATCAAAACTGCTTCGGTGAAAATTTTGAAAAAATCGTGCATCATCACGGAAATAATGGCACAGCACTTGCCCATTTACACAGAAATACTCCGTACAAAACAATGCGTTTTTGCTGCGAACATCTTAAAAGTACCTTATACATGGAGACGAAACATATCGTACTACTTATCGACCCCTCCCCATGTCTTACTAAAGGAAACAACCCCGCCCCTCCGCTATTCCAAACAACGGTTTTTTCTGGACCATTCCAATTTGCCTCATAATTGTAGGGATGCATCTGAAATATTACATTGACCGCGAAAACAGCTACGGCAAAAATACAAATTCATGCATCATCACGGGCATGCCCGCAGACGGCGTATAAAATCCCATGCCGATTAAACTAAGAGAACCCCGTGTTCTAAACGACTACCCACAATACTCCTTTCTTCGGTCATGACCTCCTTCATGCCATCAAGACCAAACTAATAAATACCCTGACAGAGTAATTTTACGACAATCAACAAACAAACCAGTAAGTACATGCGATTTTTTTTTTAATTATTACCTCCAGGGAAGGAGATATTCTTCCGCGGAAGGGTATTGTAAGAGTTAATGTTTTTCATGTTCGCAGCTGTTTTTCGCGGTTGGGTGGACGGATTTTTTTTTGACTCGGTATACGTTTTGCTATTGGGCTGCAGATGATGCACGTTTTTTTGTTTTTTATTGTATATGTGTTTCTGGGAGTGAAAATGAAAAATTTTGCGGCCCACGCGGCCCACGGACACCTCTCTTTTGTCTGAAAATGACTGTACGGGATTGAATTGGCTGTTGTTTAGGTGTTATCGGTTGGTTCCATTTTCTCCAGGCGTCTGACAAAGGGGTATTTGATTTCGATATATTCTTTGTTTAAAATTTTTCGCTAAAACGCTGTTTTCCATGACTGCATAGCCAGATTTAGTAAAATATATGCACAGTTCAACAAGCCTTTGGGGAAAATATATATTTCTTTGCGGATTAATGGTGTCTTTTTTACATAATTTTGCGCTCAATGCATCACCCGGAAGTGTGTTGGGGGGCATGGTATGTTTCCATATATGCAAATATAGTCATAAATATATGCAAATACTAACATTTGCATACGTGTGTACATTATTACAACTTCTTGTAAACTCTTGTATAGCGTGAGTTTGACGTATTTCACCGATCAAAACAAAACAAAAACTCCCGCTGAAGGGAAATTCCTTGCTGTGCCCGCTTTTAGCCGTATGGATCACTAAATCTAACCCATGGAATTTTATAACACCATTAAAAATACATAACATATAAAAATATACAATAAAAAGTCCGTATAAAGGTATAAAATCTAATATTTTACTTATTTATTTTTTTGTAATAAAGGAACATAAAAGCCATCCTATGAAATGAGACATTTACCTGCTCTGGTGCCGTACATAAGGTTTGGTATATTTGCAGCCGCGTCCGCAAGTGACCTCCAATCTGTCTGAGGCTGCTGTGTGGGCGTTTCGCCTGAGTTGTATTTATTCATTAAAATTAGGTGGATACATATTGGTCAGGAACATGTAAACAAGATCGTTAGAAACAGCAAAACTATGTACTAGTATTAGTTAAGGCTTTGTAAACGACACAACTCTTTCAACACACCCATTTACTCAATCAACCAGCAAAGTAACTCATCGTCCATCAATACATACAAACATATGAACATAACAAACGAGTAGATTGCAAATTTTATACTTTCTTTTTCCCTGCGCTTAGAGTAATTAGTTTCGGATGGGTAAGACGGATGTCATCGATAGGTAGGATCAATTTGAAAAAAGGGTTCTTAAAATGGATATATATATATATAAATATGTACATCTATCTGTTTCTGTCTGTATGTTGACATGTAATGGGCACAAACCCTGATTTTACTAACAGCGGGTCACAGTGTTTATAAACATATATTTCAGCGCTGTAAATTACTCTACTTCTGAAAAAACACTACCTTATCTCGAGGAAAATTGTACTGTTATGCAAACATCCAAACAAGTAGCATGCCACAATTTCTATACTACAGTATAAATCATTTTACACACACACATACATATGTATATATATATATGTGTGTGTGTGTGTGTGTGTGTGTGTGTGTGTGTGTGTGTGTGTGTGTGTGTGTGTGTGAACATGAAGAACTGTCTTTCGTTCCAAAACAAAAACCAGGTAAAATTTGGTACCTGCAGTATCAGAAGTCTGGGATTGCTGCTGCCCTCCCGGCATGATTCCACTTTTCGGGCTTCTGGGCAGCAAAAACACGTCCTAAACCAGCCAAATATTCACCCGACTCAATTCCGAGCCCTGAAACTAAAAAAAAAACACATTAAATCTCAAATGGGCTACAAACACCACACTTTGAACAGTCCAGACAAATCATGTTAACATAACGATATGTTTTATTGATACAAGCTTTGAAAATAATCTAATTATTTCTTATTCTTTATATTGCATACATTAATGTATGGAGAAAAACTGCTCAATTTGAAACATTAAAATAATAGTCATCGTTCATACATGTGACAAGTTTTAAGAAAACAATACTAAGCATGAAATATTCTTTTTTACACCACAATGTTATACAATAATAATATGTTTATTTTTATTTATTTATTTATTCAAGCTTTGCCACAAGTGGAAGGGAAGGAAGAAACAGGTGGAGACCACCTTTACAGGCTCCCTCCCCAAAGACATAAATGACATTGCAATCAATCATAGTTAAAACTAATTAAACATATTGCACAACATCGTAAGTAGACAATAATAACAATATATATAATTGCACAATTTCATAATAGCTAGATCTCTGCACATGTACATCCGGCCGTGGAAGTGCCCCATGTCTACCGTGGCCTTATTGCCAGACATGTGGCACACCGACAAGCAGACGTCCACGTGCAGAGATTGTCAGTAACAAAATAGATCATTAAATCTCTTGGTCAGCGATTTGACAAGACCCCGTTTGATGTTAAAAGACTCGGACTGCCCCGAAGCGACAGCCCCCATGTCCCG